CACCCTCATTTTTATTTTTAACAAAGAAAAAATTATATTATTTTTAAATAAAAAAATAATTATTTTGTCTAATTAGCAAATTTTGTTTTTTAAGATAATATATTTTTTAATGATAAATTAATGTGAAAATAAAAATATTACAATCACTTAATGTTATTAAAGGTAAAAAAACAAAATTGAAACTTATGAGATAAATATTAATTAAAAACTATGATAAAAAATTAAAAAATTTCAATCCATTAGCGGTTTTGTACAAAAAACTACCTAAGCTAGTTTTTTCAATTCACTAATGGTTTGGATCCTAACCGTTATCTGTTAGTTCCAAACTACTAAATAAAAATTTTTACTAAACACCTGTTTGTAGCGGTTTCAAAATACATAATTTTACCAAATACTTATACTGAGTGGTTTAGGTAAAACCACTAACTGTTACCCCAAAACCGCTATACCAAATGAGCCCTAAAAAGGCTACTTTCGAGAGCTTTTTATACCAAATTGTTAATAGATTATAACTTTTTAATTCTATTAACAAAAATACACATCAAGATTAATATATAAACAGGCATATCTAACCTTTGTGCTAACTTAATCTCTTCTCTGCTCAACAAGTAGGCTTTGTTTTAACCACCAGGTACAGAGTTGTTTGTAATAGTATTTTATTTTTAGTCTCTTCACCACTTTTTTTTATAAATAATTTAAGTTATATATATATTAATTGATTCATCTCTTTTACACACTATTCAATTCCATTTATTAATTTAAAGATTGTTGAACTTTGGGCATGTGGGTTGTTATTCCAACTAAGTAGTAGCATCCGTTTCATCTTTTAATTAGGTCCTGTCGCTTTAATTCCCTAAACTTACCTTTGAGCATATTTTTTTAAATAGTATTCTTGCTATGCGTTAAAAATAATGAGTTTAAATTTTTTTTTTTTATGAAGTCAAGAATAATGAGTTAAGGTCTTGTTTTACCAATATATATAATAAATAATAATTGTTGAGAAAATATGTAAATTTTTTAATAATATTTTCTTTGTATATAATCAATATACTAATCATTGTGAATATCTATACTCTATTACCTAATTCCATTCATTAATTTGAAGATTGTTGAACTTTGGCACATAGGTATTTATTGCAACTAAGTAGTCGCATCAGTTTCATCTTTTGATTAGGTCATGTTGCTTTAATTTCTTAAACTTACTTTTGAGCATATTTTTTTTATAGTATTCCTACCATGCATTTAGAATAATGAGTTCTTTCAATATTTTTTTATGAAGTCAAGAATATTGAGTTAAGATCTTGTTTTATTAATATATATATATAATAAATAATAATTGCAGAGAAAATATGTAAAATTTTTAATAATATTTTCTTTGTATATAATTAGTATGCTAGTCATCTCGTGAAAATCTATACTCTATTACCTATAATGAACATATTGTTTTCCTTGATATTTTGGAATTAAATGGCTTGCAAGAAACAAGTAAAGAAACAACTCGAAGAACAAGAAATTATTTGTGGAGCAAGGGCTTCTTGGACACTTGAAAAATTCAACTTGTTTATTGATATTTGTGTTCAAGGCACATACCTTGGTAAAAAAGTCAGAAATCATTGGGGTGAGGCTGGCAAGCAATGGGTATTTAATGAAATGGAAGCAAAAGCACATTTTAGAAAAGCACAGTTAAAAAAGGGGGGGGGGGATTGGATGAGGGATCAATGGAAACTAAGCAAAAATTGATAGAAAACAATCAAACTCGGTTAGGAAGGAATCCCAAAATTGGGATTGTAGATGCTCTTTCTGAATTTTGGGAAGAAAGGATTTAGGTAAATATATATTTTGATGCTTAAATATTTTATAGACTAATTTTAGTAGTTAATTAATTATAAATAATAAATTTGATTTATGTTTTAGGAAAACCTAGAATATGAAAAATTGTAAGAAAAAGGTACAGGAAAGGAATTATTTGATAAATATTAATTGCTATTTAATAATGTGGCAAGAGGAGATCGTGCATATTGTCCCTCTGTTGGTCAACTACCTAGGGAAATTGATGCAATAGAAGTTGATAAAGTAGTAGGTGAAGATACAACTA